GAAGATTGTGATCGCTAATTCCAGGATGGACTGTGACACTCAATACGTCATCAGGGGAACTGGTGAGCAACAGATCAAGAGTGTTATCACCTAGAGTAGGTGTGGTTATTGCTTGATGTAGGTTAAAACCAAGTACCAATTCCAGGAACTGTTTGGATCCGCTTAAAGATTGATTGGGTGCTGAAAGAAGAGGCCAATAGATATCAGGATAGTTGAAGTCGCCAAAAAGAACAATAGATGCGTCAGGAAATTTATCTTTTATGTTTGTAAGAGAACTGCGCAGGTAATCGCAAAAAAGTGAACGACTGCCTGGCTGTCTGTAACAGATCCCAAACATTGATTTCACAGAGCAGTTGTGTACGCAGACCCACGTTAGTTCTAGGTTAGTATCATGACAGATCAGTGAGGACGAGAGGTTGCTGTTGACTGCCACAAGAACACCTCCTCCTCTCCTATCAATTCGGTCATTGTGGTTTAGCGTGAAATTCGGGTTACAAGCCAGAACTTCAGAGTCTTCGATGTCGTTTGTTAACCAAGTCTCATTGAGTGTCCGTGTCGATGTCTGTGATGAAACCGTGTAGCTGATGTCTTTTGGGAACAACACTTCTGACGTTTGTGAAACCAAAGTTGGCATTCAAAATTGTAGACGGACGGTTTTTTGAACGGCACTGGTTATTTGAACTGCGTCACTTGGTACCTGGTTGATTTCAATCACGTTGATACAGTTCCCTTGATCCGACGTTAAGCTTACAGCTTCCAACAAAAATTCGACGAGGAGACGCTACTGCTCTGTGCAGATTATGGTTGGGAGTCCCGTTTACCCGTGCGTACGCGTTCCGCATAGGGATGGCCGACACCGCCGACTGTGCACACTGCAGAGATGAAGAAACAATTCGACATATCCTGTGTGACTGCCCGGAATACTTTCGGAAAGGCAATACTTTTCTAATACACTAAACAGGTTAAATGACCAGTTGCTGTCAGAAGAAAGAATACTGCACCATCGTCATGACTCATCATCACAGAAGAAAGCTGTGCAAGCGCTACTGGGCTTTTTGCGAACTACTGGCCTGTCGGAACGCCTCTGAGTGGACTGATTTTGTGTGTGCGTGTGTGTCGGTGTTTTTCTCTTATTTATTTTTAACTCTCTCTTTCTCTTTCAACAACCTATTCCCCAACCCCAGTGAAGGGTAGCATACCGGATACTAGCATCTGGTTAACCTCTCTGCTTTCCTTTTTTTTTCTCGTTTTTCTCTCCCTCTCTCTCTATCACGTGCGTCAGGAGGAGTAGGTCGAAATGTAGAAGTATTTGCGCACTCTAGAACACTATCAGTTGTAATGTCATAGAAATATGTCTTGTTTCCAACATGCAGTTTGTCAAATGAAAGTTTGAAGGCACACTTCTGCGGGCCTACGAACTGTATCAACTTAGAGCGCGCTTGGCGAGTACTGGGAGCAAAATCTTCTCTGATAGCATAGTCAGTTCCTTTTAGTAGACGGCCGCAAGCAAGGATGTTTTCTTTGGTTTCTAAATAGGTTAGTTTTACTATGATACACCTCTTTTTCTTGTTCTCAAATTTGCCTAAGCGGTGTGCACGTTCGATGGTGTTTGTGTCCAGTTGTAGCTTCAAAGTTTCAAAGCATAGTTTTAGAATTTTTGTTCCAGATTCTTGCCATGTTTCTTTTTCTGCGTCATCGAGGCCAAGAAAAAGTAGATTGTTCCTGCGCATTCGGTTGTTGGTATCATTGTTTGCAGCTTTCAGGACCTCGATATCACGTTTAATTTGATTTGCCTTGCTCACAACTGGATCAAGATTCGTTTTGGGTGCGTGATTTCTAGAGCAGCTAGTCGGCCGCTAATATCTGTGAGCATTTTGCTGTGTTCGAGTTGTGTGTTCTTTAGTTCGTTCAGCTCGGTATGGATGCTACATTGGTTTTGTTCCAGCTTGCTTAGGGCTGCCAGAATTTCTGTTGTAGGACCGGGATTTTGCTCAACATCACCGGAAATGATCAATAACTGGTGACACAGCATATTGTAGGCAAACGCAACAGTACTAGAATACTGGCGAATAGCACGGTACAAATCAGGATCGTAGGGGCACGACACCGCGACAAGAAAACGATTGTCACATCGATACTCGGTTGCATGGCGGAGGTAACTAACCTGAAAGATTAGGCGTGGGGTGAACATTGTGTCGCTTGCGTTGTTGTGCCCCAAATGGCTGTCCGATGGATGCGCCTTATATAGCCTTGAGTCGGAGTGCAGAGTCGATGACGTCGATGCGCCCAGGGGTTGCCAGGCCAGTAGTGGAATCCAGGCTGGTTCCGGATTACTTGAGGGTATCGGATAGTTGGCAGGCCATTCAGCGATGCAATCACCTGCCTCATGAACGTACAGGGTTGTGGGCTCAGTGGGTAGGTTCAGCAAAAGGCACGGACCAGTCTATAAGCAGCACATGGCAATCTGAAAGATTAGGCATGGGTCGCTTGCGTTGTCGTGCCCCTGAGTGAACACGCAGTTCATTTCGAGTGTTAACGTGGCCCTTGCCTATCCAAATGCATTTAGTGTTCCGTAACGACGCACTTATTATGAAGGAACCAAAAAATGGAATATATAATGGCTTCTTTTTCTTTATTGGCTACAACTGTGGTATTATTGTGTGGGCAATTATTGGTCAGCTGTCCGCTTGTAGAGATTACGTGCTACGTAACTGCCGACACGCAGGTCGTGAGACAGCGTCTCGGCTGCAGGGGCCTAATTTTCGGTGGAAGGGAAAGTGCTTGAGGCCTGTGTGCTTAGCCTTAGGCCCACGTTGAAGAATCCCAGGTGGTCGAAATTTTCAGAGCCCTCCACTACGGTGGCGCTCCAATTGGAGAGGCAGCGTAAAAGGTCATCATTGGTGGTCTCCAACAGTGACCTTCCAGTTTGTTGCTATCTCGTTCATTGCTTCACCTTTGCAGCAAAGCTGTGACTTTTTATTGTACATGCTACGTTATGCCCGTTGACAGTACAATACAGAGCGTTCTACATTTGCCTGCATGGCTGTGAACCAAGACACGATCTTGTTTTCGTATGTGTCTCTTTGAGAAGCCATTAACTAACCCATCTTTTTGTATCGGGGAGAAAAATAAATGATGTTTGGGATCGGCACACCAATCATTCTCAGTTGACTTGTAAAGAAGGAAAAAACATTGAAATTTAAGGGTTAGTTTTCTTTTTTAGGCACAATATTGATGCAGACTAACGGACAGTGATGTAACGCAATATATGGGGAATGTTATTAGTATTGATTGTAGTGTAAATAAGAAGAAAAAAAAAGGGCACAAAAGAATAACTTGCCTTGGGCAGGGACTGCGACTTTCGAATAATGCGTTTGATGCCCTACCAACTGATCTACTCTAGCATCCATCCCTTCCGTCCGGGGGAATGGCCAGGTGGATGGCCAGGTGGATGGCCACCAGTATAACTCAGTGGGTAGAGCCTTTGTTTTTTTTTTTAGAAATATTTGAAAATATGAGATATATTCAAATACCCAACTTTTCGGGAATCCTCAGCGGTTTTTCTACATATTCTGTGCAAAAATCCTTCAGTTGAATCAGCTTGTGAAGTGTGCAGGTCTTAGTAGCTTGTTTTTGACACCAATTGAACGAAGTTTCATTCTCTGTAGCACTGACATAGCCGATACGTGGTGGCGTACCATCGCGTGTGCATTGGCAATGGTACGAGATCATTTGTGTTAGCTGTGTCGCAAGCGGCCGAGCAGGATATTAAAATGAGCCACATGCACTGCAGTAGCTGCGCAGTGCTATCAAGTCTGGCAATTGTTTTCCAGTTTCTGTCCGAAGCTGTAAGATAATGAGTGTGACGAAAAAGTAATGGCTGATGTAGGTCCAAATTGTGTATCTCCAGCTGAGGCTGTAGGATATACTTTAAATGTTGTGAGAGTTTGTGTCGCAGCTAGAAGCTGTGCCAGAGGAAGTGCAGAGATCCTCAGGACAGCTTCGTCTTTTCTGCCCACTTTGAGAGCCACAGTTTAAGTTTAGATTACAGAATCATTTTTGAAATAAATTGTATTTTATCAATTGACTTTATTTTGTTGCGCACTATTCTGTTCTATATTCTAGTGAATACAGTTGAACCCTCTTATAATTATACTCAAGCCCCGCGAAAATTTCATTCCTATAATCGATAATTGTTATGAATGGGTTGCACGAAAAAAAAAAGAGCAAAACAGGGTAATGGCAGGCGAGAAAACCATTTATCAGATGGGTATGCAAACACACATCACTGGTAAAGATGACAAAGCTGCCAATTTTTCAGACATGGTTGAAAATTCAGACGCTTTCCCGTCGCCATAGTGCCAATGTATGACTTGTGAAGTTTCATACACGGAAACTCTTGCAAGTTTCAATTTTTTTACTCAAATTGCTTGCCGGAAAGTGTATTAACAAAAGCCGTTACACCTCCGGCAGCGCAGCAGATTTCAAAAGTCAGCTTTCTGCAATATCACAACAATATGCAGTAAAGTAATTTGCAAGTTTGAAGGGGGCAGCAGGGTGTTGGAGTTTGTGAAGGTTCAGTAGCTTAAATGTCTCCCTTTGTTCTTTCTTTTCAAGAATTTTGCCTTTCTTCGTTTCTTCGCATTCCATTACCTCTGAATTCACATGGCTGGAGTGCATTGATGTAATCGATTATGTGGCATACAGATGCTGCGGCAAGTGGGTTATTTTACAATGGCAAACATACAAAACTTGACGGTGCAGCAGCTTCTGACTTGTTACAAGAGATATACTGTTAAAATCAGTATTGTCATAAGTGGATACAAGTGTATTGAGTTTAGTGAGCTTTCAGTGAAGTGAGCCATTTTCATGGATTCCTTGAAATTCAATCAAGTGAGAGTCCACTGTACCACTAAAGACATACCTCTACTTTTTTCGGCATCATTGTCTCTCATTGACTAAAGGCCACTTAAGCAGGTGCGCTGTGTCTTGCTGTGCAGTGCTGTAAAGAAGAAGATTGAGCGCCTCGAGAAGAGTGTGAGTGTGCACCACCTGGCCGCGAGCCACCACATATCATCGGTCCTGTTCACGACGCACCGTGATCGAGATGCCAAGGTATGTTGGCCTTCCTCAGTGATGCCAGCTGGGCACCTCTTTTTTCTGTTAACTCCCCTTTGAGGCGACACAATCACCTGTCTTTGCTACTTGTGCCTAGGAATGACACTGATTTTATTGAATTGAACCTCCTGCCTAATGAACGTGTCTTCATTTAAGAATCTACAGTTGCATATCATCACTGTGCTGAAGGCCCTATCATATTTGCTTTCTGCAATTTTTCTTTCCTCATAAGAAACATAACAGAAAACAAACGTGTCCTGTATTTCTAGACTTATACAAATAAAATAAACGCTCTACTTTTAGTGCAAAGTTCTCAAAATTGAAAACTCCAAACTGATTAGATGTATTGTGACTGATTCGGTCTCTTCAGGGATGACTGTTAGGCCAGCTCCAAGGCTTCTCTCTGTGGTTTCCACTTGTCAATTGTCCTTCCATTCTTGTCGCTGTAGTATTTTCTCCACAGGTTCTTTAGACCGTATAAGTATGCACTCGGTAAGATCCCACCTGAACGGTTAAGGGGGGACATGGGACCCGATAGTGAAATATATTAGTATTAGGCCTAGAGACATGATTTTTTCTGGGAATATTCATCTCTGTACATTGATTGAAAATATGTAATTACATTTTCTTTACATAATCCAAAAAAGTTACAACTATCCTTATTTTATGAATTTGGGATGTGACTCGCATAAAAAGTAATGCATCAAAAGAGCTATAACTAAGCATGTATATTGCTGAATATTGAAATAGTGCAAATATGCGATTTCATGCTAGTATCTAAATTTTACCTTGACTTATGAAGTTTTTATGTCGCAGTCTCTTAGCTCTGAATTTTCACTGGTGATTTCTGGAAAATTTCAAAATTTTACTGTGTCCTTGACCATTTTATCAAGGTTTTCTTGCACATTTCAATACCCTAGCATTCAAAAAAAAAAAAAAAACGATCAAGAAAATGGAATCAGTATTAGCAGCACAGTGCTCACCCCAAAATTCGAAAAATGCAAAAATCTGTATTTGAGAAAAACGCAAAAAACTGAGAAAGTTGTGACAATGAAAATTTCATGCATGAAGGCCACAGCACTTGTATTCACAGTCACTCAGAAAGCCCCTGCGGAGTAGTCTGAAGCAGGCTTTTGCTTGTGCTTCTTCTTTGGGACTGCCTAGAATGCCGCTGAAGATGCACGTTTCCTATCCGAGCCGACGGCACGGCGTTAGTCTTTCTCAACTGCACGCAGGTTACCTGTGCATGTTTGATCTAGCTGCAGTTCTCGCAAAATAAGCGAACTAGATTGCTTGTTCCCTAAGTTGAAACGCATAACAGCATCTGCCATGGCAGTCTTAACGGCAAAGAATGCCGCGTTCTTGTCCTTCGATGAGAGGCTCCAAATGACCGAATGCAAGGCCTCATTCGCATTCTGCGTCTTTTCTCTGGTGCATCTCCGCAGGAGCTTCTTGTCGGACAAGCGTTATTAAACAGGACGCAGTGCATTGCTCACAGCCTCTGGCAAATTGTACTTGCTTTTTGGGATGGGCTCATTCCTTGCCATGGCTGCATTATGCTTGCACCAAGACTCGGGGTCGTGTGGACAGAAGCTGTGGTTTGATTTCTCGTCAGTGGATGTCACATGATAATACGTAGCCCACACAGCCTTGTGCATCTCATCCACATTCCCAGAATGGGATCTCAAAGCCCAGCCGTAATAACTCGTCATTTTTGTAATGAGGTCACCCGTGAGGCAGCCCTTGCCGCTGATGCGCTCGCAGCTGTCCCTTTTGTGCTTCTGCACGAGGTTTCAAAGCGCAGTCGCCATGCGCTTCTGCCCATGGTTCGAGCAGTCTTCTTTTCCAACATTTATGAAGCCTTGCACCTTAGCTTCTTTCACAGCACTGTACAAACGGCTGTCACCATCACAAAGCATGCTGGTGTACCTGAAGTTATGAAGCGAAAGAGAGCGCTGAAATAAAATCATTGCCTCTATTTTCATTTGGCCAGCCTTGCATGAGGTATTTTTCTGGCATGAATGCTTGGCTTGCCATTCAGAGTATTTTGGGCTCTCGGGTTTTGGACCACATTCACAGCCGAGGCAAAAATTAGAAGGCACAACATAGTCTTGCACATAACCTGAAGAAACTTCTATCACAGTGGCTATTTCAATGTTAGAGGTGTGTTTTCTTGTGTGCCAGCTTTCATCAAAAGAGACGGCAATATTTCTGGGGCTGCCGATATTGGGGTCCTTGTAGAGGCACTTTACCACCGTGGCACACTTAGTCAAATGTTCGCACAAGCTCTCGTTGCTGCTGTCTAAAGCTTCATTTTTAAGTACTCCTGCTATGTTTTCATGTGAAGGCCCCGATGTGAAACACCTACAGCGGCGAAGGTGTCATTCAGAGCTGTCTGACTGTTCCCGGTGCTCCGAACCTCACGCGCCGTGTGAACGTTGATTTCGAACGTGTTGCAGTTACTGCTGCCACCAACCCGTCCCGAGCTCCATTTCGAACCAAATTATCCGCAGTTGCTGTAGTGAAGTTTCAGCTTAAGGGCTACGCCGCATTCGATGGTCAGTTGACCACGGCACACTCGGCAAGCAGAATGTTCGTTTAGTAAACTGTTCACCATGTCAAGGTCAACCATGGTATACGTCGGGGCCGACGAACTTTCGGTGCCGTGCTGACTCGTGAGAACACTCATTTTGCAATCGGTTGCCGAGACCAAGCAAAGTTCCGCTGCTTTTTGTTGGGCGCGATGCTCGACGAGTTCTCGGTCAGCCGATGTCAAAAATGTCGCGTCTATCCTCGCAGCTCGATCGCGCATACTTGAAGTACTGCAGGCAGAGGTCGCAGTCGCCGCCACGCTTTCTCCAACGGCGAGATCTGCTGCAGCAGCATTCTTCTCTGTCTTAATCATAAGCGGCAGGGTTGTTTCCTGGCGCCTTGTTGAAGTATCACTGCAATCAGCTGATTGCGTGGTCGCCGTCGCGATCGCTTGTGTTGCAACGCCGCTTCGTCGTGGAATCCATTGCGCTCTTCCGCTGAGATCTGCAGATATCTTCGTCGGCAGTTGCGATGACTAATGGTACTCTGAGCGCGTGTCGCCACTGGTAGAAGTTGTAGCAATGGAAGGCTGCCTTTGTGTCAGGCTGCTGCATCGCGGCGACTGCCGGTCTTCTATCCCGCTCGGCTCTGACGACATAGCCTGGACTGGCTGCGATGACTCCTTGAGCTTGCTGAATTTGTGAAGTGTGGGGAACTTTCGAGCATGGTTCGGCATCTCGATTTCGATCACAAAACTACAAAACTTCTGAAATGGCAGTCACAACACGTGTGTTTGCGGCCGTGCGCACGTGATCATCAGTGTTGTTAGTCCCCGCGCTCCAATCACGAGCCGCTGTTCACTCACGTGACTGCTATAGACCAATGATACCTCATGGTTTTGTTACTTGTTTTTGCCTGGTAGCGGCTGCAGCATTGAAAGTTCGTTCCTGGTGGGAAAGCGAGCTCCACAGAAGCTTTTTCAAACGATACTAAGATGGCCGCGATCCGATGAGTGGTTAGCGCAATCCGAGCAACGCAAAAGGGGGCTGTTTTTGGCAATTTTGTAAGTGAAACCAAGTGCTGGGATGAATGAACACGACATTTTTTGGCTCAACGATGCGTCCTTTCGAGTTCATTTTTTGCTGGCAGGTGCGAGATGATATGAAGATAATGAAAATCACCAAACTGAAAAATCGATTTTTTTGGTGTTTTTTGTTGCCGAGACCCGTGTCCCCACTTAATGTTTCCAGGTGTTGTTTGGATATGTCAGTACTCAAAGAACTGCCTTTTTGTGCGACTACCTTCCGTGTCGATGACCCGGGTGATGTTGAAACTGATGCGATGGTCCATATTTTGGCTGTGTTCTGTGAGGACATTTTGGTGCAGCGTTGAACCTACGTACGCTGTTTCAATGTTGCTGTATTCTTTCCAGGAAGTTTTTGTCTGACGAATGCAAGTAGCGGGCCAATCAGTGTATCAAACTTCTTAGACTAGCCTGAGGAATCTTTCTTTTGGCAGTCGGTGTATTCGTCGTGGCAAGAGCTGCGTGATTGTTGAAGCGGGTTCGTGCGTCACCTAGATGCCGTCCTTCTCCAGCTCCCTGGAAAGTTACTCGCTTGCTTTTAACCCACTGGCACAACAGCTAAGTCGCCTCTGAGCAGTGGAATATGCTCGCCTCCCTTCTCAAACACTGAGCTACGGCGAGTTCGTCTCAACACCACCAGTTTTCGAGAGCGATTATGATCTTGAACCTATCACTGATGTCCTCATTAGCCGCAGCGTTACACTTGACATCCAATTTCCCAAACCCTCAAGGGACCACGAAAATGTCCGGAAAGTCGGGCAATCTGTAAAAGTAAATGCATGCGAAGATGCACTTTTTTATAGGTTCTTTTTGCTGTTGGAAAGGGTCACGGCAGGAATACACGATACTCATTGTAATCCATCTAATACATCGTATGTGGCTGTGTGCAGAGCCGTTTAATAAAAAGAAAGGCAACCCTGATATGGCCAGCGTTATCTCATTGGTTAACACTTTGGCGCAGAAAAGTCGCTTATTTTCTTTTGCATGGCATTCCGCTTGCCCGCCATGATGTCTGGCTCAATTTCAGGTAACGTCATGCTTTCGCTCTACACTGATGAAGTGTCATCAGTGCTCGCGTCAACTCCGAGCTCGTTGGCTGTGTAGGCGCTGTTTATTTGGTTTTGGTGTCGGAGTCATCGAAATATTTTGTAAATTGATGAATGATTTCGTCATCGCTCAATATCGCACACAGATAGAGGTCTTTAATTGCATCAGGAAAGCCCTCAGAGGTGGTGATCTTGCGTGGTGAACGAGTAAGCCAGTTTACGGCATTCTTCAGCGTAAGCAGCAGCTTGAGAGTTGGGTTTGCCCTCATAAACATCCGGTTGGTACAGCAGAATGGTGTCCATAGAACATGAAGGTTCACGTCCATACAGGAGAA